CCCACCAACCCACTAAAACGGAGTGTAATGATGCAAATAAAAATATAGATTAACGTCTTAACGGTTCTTACTAGATGGCTCCCTTATTGCACGTCGGAATGATCAGACCAAAGTTTTGTCAGTAAGACCATATTGAATACGAAGCAACGTACCGTTTTGTGGAGCTGCAATATGCGATACAGACAATTCAATGGGAGGTCTACAATCCGTACGTACGACGTTGATACTACCTACAGAAGATACAAACAGTAGCTAGGTATACGTACTCACATCTATTAGGTATGTTACCGGAATGCGGCCGCCAGCTTCTTAGTCCGCTAAGAAGCGATGTAGAGTCACCCGGAATCATTCCGGAACGATTCCGGAACCATTGAATGGGTTCCGCTGTCGACCGCTAGCCACGGACGCCGGATGCCGGAATATGATGGATGCAACGCGGGCAGACGCGCGCCGGTAAAGTCCTTCGCCGACGTCCGTACATTATAGAGCAACTGACGCCGACGGGTCCTGCCTCCTGCCTGCCTGCTGCTGCTGCTCCTGCAGAGCTCCTATGGAAGCAGCGCCCACCAACATCGCTGCCCAAGTAGCACGAACAGATCACCTAAGGCTACAATAGTCAAAGTTGCGCCTGGTTGCTGCTGACCCAGTTTGAGCAACGGCTAGTAGGGCGCTCTGAATTCAAATCTGGCGCCATGGCTGCCGTGAGTAGCGGGAGGTATCTCCCTCATTTGGGCACCATTTTTGGTGCTTGAAGGCTCCCTGCAAAGCTCTCCATGGCAGCAACACAGCCCCGCAGGATGCTAGTACCGCTCCTTGCGCGATGTCACGATGCCTCAGGCTGCCGGGAACCAAGTCGTTTTGCTAGCGTGCCCGCGATGCACCAAGCTATGTAAAGGTGCTAGGGGGCTTGGAGCGCACAAAACGTGGTGCGATAGGAAGGAGGCATTGCGGGTCCAACAATTCCAAGGGCACGGAGTTAATGGAGCCCGCCATCGACGCCCGCCTCATGCCATTCCCACCCTCGCGGATTGGGAATGGGCCGCGACCGAGGTTGACCTTGAGGAGGAGCTTCTTCCAGGCTTTGGGACGCGCCAGATCCGCATCCCACAAGCCGCTCGTGGCGATCTAGCTAGAGCCCTTCTCTTACCGCTTAAGAAGATAGTGGCAGATCACACCGATGAGGGAGCATGGGCCATCCTTCTCCTCTTTCCAACACTAGTCCTTGGGGCACTGGTACGGGGGGGCAAGGCCGGGCTGCGCAATCTCAAGGAGCGATGCCGCCGCTTCGAGAGCGGAGATTGGGAGGGCCTGCTGGACGATCACCACGAGGCCGAGGATCTTCTTGCGGAGCGGTTTGAGGAGGGAGAGCATGGGGCTGCGCAGTTAGCGGGTGAGCCCACCGCTGAGGAGGCGCAGGCGCGCAGGATCCGTCGTTGTCTTCGGCTTGGACGGGCGGGTGAGCTTAGCCATGCAGCTAGAGCTTTGGAGTCGAGCAGGCCGGCTCCGGTTACGGAGGAGACCGTTCATACCCTTAGAGAGTTGCATCCTGCAGCGCCGTCCCCGATCCCTGATTGGGTAGCCCCTTTTGAGCCCGTCGATTCCTTCCTTCTTAGCCCCGAGATACTCCATGCCGCCCTGGCATCAGCGCCTAGTCTAT